CTTTCTTCCTTCCTTCCTTCCTTCCTTCCTTCCTTTCTCTCTCTCTCTCTCTCTCTCTCTCTCTCTCTCTCTCTCTCTCTCCCTTTCTTTCTTTCTTTCTTTCTCCCTTTTTTTTGAGGTATTCTCCCTACCAAGTCCAGGTTGGCCTTGAACTTGAGATGGTTTTCCTGCCTCAGCCTCTGGGAGTGGTGGAATTCCAGGCCCCGCCTTTCTTTTCTATCTTTGTTACAAACAGGGCTGCCTTAGAGATTACAGTAGTAAGCCCTTATTTACATAGAGGACCTCAGGCCTTGTGTGCCACCCTCAGACTAGTGAATCTTGTAACTCTTGCCGAGAAGTTTCTTCTTGCAGTAGATGTCAATTAACACAGAGCTTCATGATTTGGCCAGCACACTAGAATGAGAGGCTCGAGTTCTCAGCCCTGAGTGGGATGTCTATATTGCTTGTGCACCTTCAAGGCTCAGGGTTCTTTGCAGAAGAGGGGGCAAAAAGAATGTAAGAGGCTGGGCTGGAGGGATAGCTCCGCTGTTAAAGGCTAGGCTCACAACCAAAAATAAAAGAGTGTAAGAGGCAGAGAGTAGAGGACTCAGGACTGCATCAGGGCATCTGCACCTATGAACCCACGACAGGGATGGCGTGCACAAGACTTGGGAAAGTTCAAGTTCAAGTTCCACAAGGTCCCACCCTTAGCTGCAGAGCTATTGGCAGCTGGTGGCCACGGGAGAGGGGTTGTCGGTTTTCTTCAGGTAGGTCCCACCTGAGAGGCTACGATTGCTCCAGATGGCCCTACACCCATGCACATACAGAAAGTAATAAGTGGACCTTGTAGGAAAAACAACGTCAACGGAAAAAAAAATCGAAAATCAAATCAAACAAACAAAACCCCCCTTGGGATTGGAGGAGAGGGAATAGGGTGGCCTTGATCAAAACACTTCACATGCATGGATACAACTCTCAAACAATAGAAAGATATGTATCTTTATTCTCCCTTTAGGAATACATCTTTTCAACTTTTTTTAAAACTTATTTTTTCTTTTTCTTTAAAGATTTATTTATTTATTATGTATACAGAGGAGGGCGCCAGATCTCATTACAGATGGTTGTGATCCACCATGTGGTTGCTGGGAATTGAACTCAGGACCTCTAGAAGAGCAGTCGGTGCTCTTAACCTCTGAGTCATCTCACCAGCCCTATTTTTATTTTTCATTTTTTTGGTTTTTCGAGACAGGGTTTCTTTGTGTAGCTTTGCGCCTTTCCTGGAACTCACTTGGTAGTCCAGGCTGGCCTTGAACTCACAGAGATCCGCCTGGCTCTGCCTCTCGAGTGCTGGGATTAAAGGCGTGCGCCACCACCGCCTGGCTATTTTTTATTTTTAAAGCTGGCTGTGGTGGTGTACTGTTTTAATCCCTGCAGAGGCAGAATCAGGAGGATCTTTGTGGGTTCCAGGCCAGCAAGGGCTACGAAGTGAGACTTTGTTAAAAAAGTAAAAAGGATATAAAGAATGAAAGGAAGGCAAAGCATCCAGGAGAGCGAGAATTGCAATAATAATAATAATAATAATAATAATAATAATAATAATCCTTGTGAAAAATCTGTCAAAGTTCTCTGATTCCTTGGCTGGACTAAGTAAGTATCCTAGAGAGTTCTCCATGCAGAAACGTCCATGCCGCTTCAGGGCTTGGTGCTTGCGGTTCTAGAAGCCGGTTCCCACTGGAGGCTCAGCGCGGGCTGCCTGTAGACAGGCACCCTGAAGCCTCCCGCTGCGTCACGGCGGAAGATGCCGGGCTGCCGGGCTCCAGGGGGCACTAGCGACTTTTCACTTGGCTTCTGGCCTCCAGAGTTCCAGGTTCCGTATGGTTCTCTTTTCCTTCTATCCTGGGCTGGGCTGGCTCTGAGCCTTTCCTTTGCACTAGAGGACTGTCCACGTGTTCCCTTTTCGGAAATTCGCTGTAACACTTTAACGCCTGTATTCTCGGTATTAAGGAGGTTAGGGCAGGAGGATCGCCGAGTTCGAGGTCTACTTGGTAAATCCAGGTCAGCATTGGCTACAAGGGGAGACCCTGTCTCAAAAAGCATTAAAAAAAAAAAAAAAAAAAAAAAAAAAAAAAAAAAAAAAAAAAAAAAAAAAAACCCAAAACGAATGCGAGATTAGCTTGTATGTAGCCCACGGTGACCTAAAATTCTCCTCTTGC